TTTCTTTCTTTCTTTCTTTCTTTCTTTCTTTCTTTCTTTCTTTCTTTTCTTTTTTTCTTTTTTCTGCCGTTCCCTTCTTCAAATTGTCTGTGTGGTTAGGCTGTTTTACAGAACTTACATCTGCTATTTGTCATACATTTAAAAATTGCCTTGGATGCTTCCCTTAGTTTGCTTACCAGAGTGCTAATGTGGCTGACACAGGGACTGTCTGAGAAGCCATTGATAATGGCACAGGGACTTGTTTCGTCTGCATGTACTGGCTTTTTGGGATCCTAGTCTGTTTGGATGCTCACCTTCCTAGACCTGGAGGGAGAGGGGAGGAACTTGAACTTCCCACAGGGCAGGAAACCCTGACTGCTCTTAGGACTGGAGAGGGAGGAGGAGAGGAAGTGGGGGGAGTGTGAGGGTATTGGGAGGAGGGGTGGAAGTGGAAATTTTTATAAATTAATAAAAAAATCTTTCTAAAAAATGACTTTAAAAATTTTAAATTCTATTTAATTCACTTATTTTCCCAATATTTACTGTGCATAACTCTGTTTATGACTTACTGACTGCTGGTTATTTTGAGTAGTCAGACTGACCATATTATAGGTTCAGCTCAACACTTTTGATAAACAAAATCTGTTGGCAGAGACCACTTGTTCATTTCTGACCATCCAGACCTGAATAATCACACAGAAACTTTATTAACTACAACACTGCTTGGCCACTGGTTTAGGCATATTCCTGGCTAACCCTTTTAACCTAAATTTACCCTTTTCAATTAATCTATGTATTGCCACGAGACTGTGGCATACCAGTAAGTTTTTCCAGCACCTTTCTCCTTAGGCAATTACATGGTGTCTCTTTGACTCTGCCTTCTCTCTCTACATCTCTGGATTTCCTTCCTGACTTTACTCTGCTAAGTCATTGGCCCAAACAGCTTTATTCATCAACCAATAAAAGCAACACATATACAGAAGGACATCCCATATCAAAATCCTTCCCTAACTCTTGGAGAAGACATCTACCCAAAGGACACATATTGATTTTCTGATCTCTGTTATTTCTACCTTCACAAGTCCTTTCTGTATCATGTCCAACCCACTTGTGCAGGTGAACACATATATACAAATCTCTCTACTTATCTATCTGTAATCACTCTATCTGTCTATCAGTCATCTATCCATCAACACTATAAATTAAACAAATACAATCATTAATTAAAATATTTTTCCTGGTAGTCAGATAGTTAAAAACATCTGTCCTTTGTTACACTTTTCTTTGAAAATATATACTTTGTACAAGCTCCAATAATACCAGTAAAGGCTGTTGAGAAATGACCAAGACAACTTGAGAGCTCAGTGGAGCCAGACTTACCAAACTTTTCCTAAGCAGAATTGACACACCACTCTTCCATATGTAAAATGCCATATGATGAAGAACACACACACACACACACACACACACACACAGTGAGTTATTAGTATGAGAAATTTTAACTATATAAAATTATAGAACTATCTCACACATGCATTTCATTTAAATATTTTGTATGTTAGAAATTGTGGTTTTAACATCTGTCATTTTACAAAGAGCAAGTTACAGTTTTTATCAGCTGTCAAACAGCTTGCCTGTGTTTTTACAAACAGTTGAAAACTTTACATAAATATTTGTGTTCTTCAGTATAAAATTTCAGCATTGTCTAGTCTTGTCCTTTTTCAGCATACCGATAAGCGTCCCTTGAGAATGGCCAACATAATAAATTTGTTTTTGTCCTGTTTTCTTCAGAATGAAATTAATGGTGGCTGGAAGGTCATATTTTATCATCTCATCATAACTGCAGAAAAACAAAATGGATAACATTTTATCTAATTATTAACCAATAAATAAATAATTTCTATTTTAAATTATGTCTTTATAGGGTCTATATGAAGGGAGGCAAGACTCACAAAGGATATCAATGATCAATTACTCCTCACGTGTTTACTATGCTTCTACCTTAAAGGCACCACTTCTCTGTGTTCACATGATATAGATCTATAACTGTGCACATTGTACTGAAGTAAGCTAGAGTTGCCGTGTCCACAACGCATGGACTGTTAGAATTAATTCACAGCACCTTTGCTCCAGATCCAAATTTCTAAAATTCTAGCTTCTCCCTATGAGCATCATGTTCTGTTAAGATTGGCACTCAGGCTGTAAAATCTCTCCCAATCCCCGACAAAAAGAGAGAGGGAGGAAGGGGGAAGGGAAGAAGAAAGGGGTGAGAGAGAGAGAGAGAGAGAGAGAGAGAGAGACAGACAGACAGAGAGAGAGAGAGAGAGAGAGAGAGAGAGAGAGAGAGAGGAAAGGGAGAAGGAGAAAGAGAGCGGTTGCTAGAGGAACAATAATGAAAATGTGAAGAAACTTATTTAAACAAATTAATGACAATGAACTCCAATATTCTACTACTCTGCGACCCGGAGTACTCGTATGTACTTTTACCCTTGTCTTTTCCCCTTTGCCTGATACTCTTTGCACTGACAAAATATCAAGAGCCTCACGCTAAGGAGGTAGCTCATTCTGGGATGCAATTGCAGTCAGAGTGTAATCTGCAGGACCCCCCCTAAAAAATAATAGCCAGGTATGTTGCTCCGTGTCTTTTATCTCAACAATGTAGAGGCAGAAATAAACATACCTCAGGGATTTGGCTGATCAGTCAGTCTCTTCTAAGTTAGTGATTTCCACACTTGTAGTTATTGATTTCCACAACTGTTTTACAAACAGTGTGTCTAAGAAACAGCACCTGAATTTGTGCTCTGATACTCACACAAACACATCTTCGTGAGTATGCACATGTGTAATACACACCATCAGGTCTACACACAGACACGGATAAATAGATACACACTCGAAGGAAAAAGTAGTGGAGGATGGCTATATGCATACTTTTACATTTGCAAAATCATTGTTTTAATGTTTTAAATGTATCAAATTTACTTCAATGAAGCAATTTTATGAAGACATGGATGAGGCCTGTGAGAAGATTCTGTGAGCAAGGGTACAATTTACCAAGCCGGTTGTCCTGAGTTGGATCACTAGGACCAAACTGTCTGAAAAAGAATCGACTCCCTTAAAAGTCATTTCCTGACCTTCAAACCTGCACTGAAGCATTTGCATGAACACACAGGCACGCATGAGAGAGAGGGGGGGCATAATTTGTAAATTAAGTAGACTGATAAGAAAAATAAAATAAATAGTATTTCAAAAGGTAGAAAAATAGGTTTTATTGAGAATTTTATTATATTATGCATAGTAACCACAATACAAAGACCTAACCTATGCCTCCCAAATCAATCTTCTAAAATATCACTTCAAGTGAAAATGACTTCAATCCAATCCCACAAGTTTATTTAACCATTAAAATATTTGACATTTTGTTAAGGCAGAAGAAGAGTTACATGGAATTTTATACTACCTGAAATCCCAGAATTCTTTAGAATTTGGGTCCAGGTACAAGTGTTTCTTTGCCCAGGTATTTCCTCTGCTGTTCCCCATCCATACATCATAACCAGCATCTGCTAGAATGAAGGCCAGGCTGTTGTTCGGAGGATTGGAAACCCACACACCAGCAGTTGAAAACAAGCCGTGTTGACAATACACTACCTTCTTCGGGGCTGCAAAAGCAATCATGAAAAATGTTTTACAATAGTGTCTACACAACAGGAAAGCAGCAAACTTAAGATAGTCACAATAGAGCAGAAAACTTTTTGAATGAGCAAACAGGGGTGTGCTAAGGTTTTTATTTCACTTATTATGTCAGTCAGTATTAATCAATATTCAAGTGGGCAAAAGAAGTGTCATTCCTACAGGAACTCAGTATTCATAGACCAATGGAAGCCAGGCTCCATGAAGCGCCCAACTTTAACTATTGAAGTAAAGGAGCTCCAATGAGTCAAGATGCTTCAATAGTCATCTCACTCGGATCTTACCTGGACTATTGCTGTTGTTTTTTCCATGAGGAATGCGGTTAATTGGGAGGATGTAACCATCCTCAGTCACAACCTCATACTCTTCACTTTCATAATGCCAATAGGTAACAATTTCACTCTAGGAGAGAAAACACACAATAATGATCTTTTAATACTCAGTCATTTTTTTCATGCTTCTTAAAGTAGAATTTCTTCTTTGAGTGAAGTCATCAATCTTGCTAAATGTTCAGATATCAGATTTTAAGAGATTCAATGATTCAGAAAATATGAATGAAGCTCAGAGATAAAGCAAATATACACAGTTTTATTAGTGATAAAAATAGCTTACAACATTCATATGGGCTTCAGGATTCTTGTTTACTGCAAACAAACAAAATATATTTCCAAATACATGGACAAGGCACATTGTACTCAGCAGCCACCGCATTTTAAACCTGCAAGGAAATAGTTATTGTCATTAAAATGGCAATGCTACTTATAAGAGTTAACTGTCTTTCCCTTTGCTGTTCATAAAAATAAAATAATTCTAACATTTGCCATTAAAACATCACTGATGCCTCTTTGGGGTTTATCCTGAAGGACCAAGGTTAGTATATAGTTGATTGATTAATGACTTTAAAAAATGTAATTTATTCAAAATGCTTTAGATTTTTGAAATCAAAATGAGGACAATAAGAAAGGTTAATAAAAAAGCAGAAAAGGATAAAAAGAAGCAAAGTAAATGAACTCTCACATGTAGAAGCTGTGAGTAACAAGAAATCTTGTCTTGCCAACACATCTATGAAAGGATCCTGGCATCCTTTCATAACTTTCGATAGCATGCATATTCCACCAATGTGCCTAGAATTTCTAAAATATGTGTTTTTTAAAAATCACAAACATGACTAATAAGCAGCTCTTTTCCACCTCCTAAAAGTATTATTTTAATTAATATTTTGTACCACAATTTTAATAATCATATATCTATTAATTAATGTTTCTATAGAAGATATGGACCCTGCATTTAATGTCCCTGCTTCTGCTCCAAGAACAAGATATGACTTCTGATCTTTCTTTCTTTATAATTTTTGTTCAGTTCCCTAATATCAAGGTGCCAAATAATCTGGAAAAAAGAAAAGATACACATTAACATAATAATTTTTGAAATAAAATCAAGATTGTAACTTTCAACAGTCATGTTGCATGCATGGTCTAATTAACTTTATCTCTTGCTGTTTTAATACTTAGCCTAAAGAAATTCAACACACAGATTTTAGAGTATCATACCTGCTGTTTTGATTTTCATAGTGCGAATGAAAATGCAATTCTCCTTTCCCACCCTGCTCACCATAAATATATCAGTGAATGTATTTTTTGGATGACCTTTCCTAGAAATGGACACTGCCTACTTAAACCATGAAATCAGGTGTTTGGCAAATCAGAAGTCAAATATTGCAAAGCTCTCCAATTAGATAGAGTTCCAAGAACTCCACTAAATTTCCTTATTTGCGGGTTCAATATGTGCCAACACCCTTCTCCACGTTCTCATCCTTAGTGCAAACACTGAAACTTTATTTAGCTTTTAACATGAGAATAACTCATTGTGCTGTGTCTTCCTCAGAACTGTAAACATGGCCCTCATTCTTTACTGAATAAGTTTTAAAGCTGCTGGATACAGAGCTATCAAATGAACCATCATAAACATTTAGATTATGAACAACGCCATTTTCAAAATTTTCAATCTATATCCGATTTAAGAGCAACATCTGTAGAAGTTTGGGAGACAAAATCTTCAGAATACTAAGATGACACCACTTTAATAACAAGAATGTTTTAAAACACCCAGAGATATATAAAAATTTCAATAGGAAAGAACAAGCTGCCTTCGTCAAATATTATGAAAGCATCTGCAAACATATACTCGCATTCCCTACAAGACAGTAAAGCAGAATATCTTGAGAAAAAAGCTCTGTCCAGAAAAATTAAGATATAAATTCCTTCTCTCAGAAATTCCCTACCCCTATGTTCCTAGAAAAAAAATTGTATATTGATAGCAGGGAGTGTACTTCCTACTGTTTGAATGTGACCTGTGCCCCAAGGCCTGTGTGTCCAAGTTTTGTGTCCAGAGTTACAATGCTAACTTGGAGGAACCCATATGCTCACTTTTGGTGTCCAGAGTTACAATACTGACATGGGGGAGCCCATGTGCTCAGGGTTGATATCTAGAGTTACAGTGTTAACATGGGGGAACATTTAGAAAATTGAACCTTGTTAAGGTCATTATACTTCAACACTGTATAGCTCAATACTGTATCTCAGGAATAGGTCAGGTATGGTCATAGGTGATGTTTCTAGAAGAAATTTGTCACAAAAATAAGAGAAAGGCACATCTGTCTTAGTCTTGCTTTCGAGATGTCCACGTGACCTCTTCTCCCTGCTCTTCTAACTTTGTCATGCTGCCTAGAATCTTGCATTCCCAGAACTGAGCACCCAGCATGCTCTAAAATCTACAGAAGTATGAGCTGCTGGAACCCCTTTTTACAATGTATGTAGTGTGTGGTATTTTGTTTCAGCATCAGTAATTGGACAAGATTACTGTACAAATCTATTCTAAATAAAAATTTTTTACTTACACTAAGCATATAGTGCCCAATTACAGCTAGACATAAATTATATGTTGTGACAACCTATAGTATGTAAAATTATTATATAACAAATTACGAAAAATGCACTAGCTCACATGATAGTTTTACTACTGTTGCATTTCTATGTGATACAGTAAAGTTCTAGCTACAGGTCTCTACTGTCACTCCATGGCTCATCTCTTGGTTCATTCTCTCTTGTTTCTAGTCTCTGGCTATAATAACCTTTAACCTCTTACTCATATGCAATGACTTTCAAATTTCTGTCTTGTACAAACTACATCTGTTTGGTGTGTCATCCTTCATAACATTGTCTTTCTTGTTTATTTGTGCTCTTCATTTTGAAGCTACTTGTTCATTGAAACTTTCACTGACTGTACAAACAGAGTACAGATTCTCAGACAGTCTATTAATATTTGCTAAATGTGAAGCACTCCAACTTATCTGTGAAATAATACTCTATTTTCTTCTATAATGTATAGTTTTATGTGGTTCTACTTTCTTGTTCATTAATACTTGCCTGTTGCATAGGAAAAGCACCTGACAAAATGGGACCACAATACTTGCAAACTAGAGACCCAGAAGTAGAATGGTTAACTAAAGGACGAATGAATATTTAATTATAAAGGAAATATATCATTTCCCTTACTTAATTCAATCAGAAGACTACAGTTAAAACTTTGGCCTAATCCAACATCAGAAGTCTATTCTACAGAGTTATGATTTTTTAAATGACATATATACCTTTTGGTATACATGCTATCAATAATTTCTGATTATAAATGGAATTATGGCAATTGACTCCACTGGGATCTCTGTTTCTGGTATATCCTTTCTACACATACATTGGCAAGAAATGTAGTTGACAGAATTTAACAATGCAAGTCATGTTTTATTGTGTTAAAATAGTCTATGGAGAAATATTTGAAAACAAAAATATAATTGACTATGGTAGCTCATGACAGCACTCAAGAGGCAGGGACTATCAGTAGGATAGCCCATGGGTTCAATGTGGGTTGCATTACCCAGTTATTTTCTGGCCAACCAAGGACATATGCGCTTATTCCTGCAGCTAGAATATAGAAGACCTAGGACCTATCCTTTATCTGGCCACTTGATCAATAGAGCTTAGTGTTAAAATCAACCTTTCTTAAGAGTGTTTTTCAATAAAAGTTTTCAGTAGAATTTGGCTTTGTCTACATCTTTTTCATTTCTTACATATATATTTTCTATTCTAGAAAACATTAGTTCTATGTACATATGCTTTATTCATGGTTAATGCTTGTGAAGAAAAAGAATGGCATGCAAGAACTACTGTATTAAGGTAAGGCTTGTCAAAATTCTTTTACAAGTTCCCAAATTTTGGTTTATGTAAGAAATCTTTATTTCAAATTACCAAGTGTTTTTATTTTGTCTCATGGGCTTTTTTCTGTTTCTTCAGAAGGTGTCCTACTCACACCTTAAAGGCAAAAGGAACTCTTGATCACAGAGCCAGTCTTTTGTCTTCCAAATGAACCCACAAGGTCCCATCTTCCCTTTAAATACAGTGCATTGCTACTAAGCAAGTCTCACATTAGATAAACTATCAGGGTTGTGATGGTGGAACTCCTGTGCTGAAGCTTCAGAAAACATGTCTGCACAAGCTCAAGACTAAATATATTCCTGTCGGCAACCTGCTCAGAAGGAAAAAAAATGGGACATGATGAATGGGCATGCTCATTACTTGGGTAACAACAGACTGACTTCATCCAAAATGTTCATGATCATTTCCAAGGTAACATAAGCAAAGATCGGAAAATTTTGCTTTTAATCTTCAATTAAGAGTCTAGACAGAATAGAAAGAAATTGAAATTTTCAATAATGTAACAGAAATTTCTTATTTTCAGAAAATAGCATGTTGGAAAGAATGCACATTATATGAAAGTTATTTTTACCATATCTTTATTTATCCTGAAAATTAGAAAACAGATTCACTGTAATATCAATAGCCCTTTAGACTGCAGATTTTAACCCACACTGAATTCCAAAATCAAAGGTTGACATACTCATAAAGGCTTATTAATATTTAGGGAAACTTTGTATGTGTTCAAAATAACCCTATGAGGACTGATGCTTCTGTGGGACTATGTACCAGCAGACGTGAAACCAGGATTCTGGGGTAAAAGAGATAGGAATAGGGGAAATATAGGGAATACAGAATATTGAAACATAATCCCCATGTTTCTTCAGCCAGGGTCGGGTGTGAGGCAACATAATGCTCTTGACTAAGTTAGTTAAATGTAGCTAAAGGAAGAATAATATTACCACTCGTCTAACTACTGACAAATGTAGACTGATATATGTAAGACTTAAGCTCATTCAACTGCAGACATAGTATCTTCAAAGCCTTATGCTGAGTCCAGAACTCACAATTCTCTTGCCTTGGCCTTCTTAAAACTGGGATGACAAACGTGGATCATCAGCTTGAAAACTTTTATTTAGAATTTCATGATTGAATGGAACTAATTTATTTAGTGTCAAATTGTATTTCATTTTCCAGGTATGCACAGGTGATCCCAATGAGTTTAATGGATACATGAAACAGAGACTTCTATGTTTTCCTCTAAAGTTATGAGGTCATTGTGTAGCAAGGAAGAAACCAAAACCAAGAATGTTCAATGTCACTTTGCTAATTTATTTTATTGATATGAAATTTCAGTATGAAGTATGAAGAGAATCATGTGACAAGAGAAAACCAATGTAATGGGGTCCCCTTGAGAAATAAGTAGCACAACGTTAGACATTCTAATGTGCAAATTGTCTTAGC